ATCTATTCGATACGTATACTTGCGTGGTAGAATTTTAACTGACACACGACAGGGTTTAGAGTTTGTGACACGTCATGGCTAGAATGTGTAATAGTATGGCGAGAATCTGTGGCATGACTGTGACCCAGTAGGGTTTAGAGTTTGTGACACAATATGATGAAAATTTGTGACATGGAATGGTGAGAATATGTGACATGCCATGGTGAGAGTATGTGACATGATTATGACATAACAGGGTTTATAGTTTGTAACACACCATGGAAGGAATATTTGACAAGGTAAGAATATGTGACATGCCATAGAGAAAATATGGGAGACGACATAGTGAGAATATCTAACATGCTAATGTGAGAATGTGGCATGCCATGGTGTGAATATGTGACACATCATGGTGAGAATATGTGAGACAGCATGGTGAAAATATGTGACATGGCTGTGACGTAGAGTTTGTGACACACCATGGTGGGAATGTGTAACATGGTTTGTTGAGAATGTGTGACATGGCATGGTGAGAATATATATGACCTGCCATGGATGGAATATGTGACACGCCATGGCTTGAATAAGTGACACGACATAAATTTAAATAGAAAAAAATATGAACAAATAAAGAAACTGTTTGAAATTCACGACATGCATATTAATGGTTAAGGTGTTTAAAGTGCCATCGCATTTTATTATATTTTCAACATTCACAAATGGCTGTGTGAAGGAAATAAGAGAGTTTGATTCATTCATCATTCCCAAAGGGGCTAGAGTGTTCGACTTCGCTTTGAGCAAAGTTAAGGACATCATAGCAACAATGTTGGTTCTGCGTGAAGAGGTTAGTTAGTTGTTAATTAAAACTTTCTTCTGTTTGATAATTTTTTGCTGGGTTGCTCTATTAGATGTTTGTGTTGTTGCCTGTGATATGTTTTAATTGTTTTCTTCCTAGTTTTATGGCTTTTGGATAAATTGTGGAAAGAACTACTATATTTTTACTAACATGGTTTAGCGTCATACGAAAATTTTTTAAGGGGGTCTACATATCGTGTAATAAGAATAAAAAGGTCTTTGATCTTATGTGTATTACGTTAACTATTTTTGGGGTTTTTAGCTTTTGTTTGGCGTGTTGTGTGTAAATCGTATAGTCGCCATAATCCTTACCGTGTCACCCAAGTGGGTATTTTAGGGTAGTTTGTGTAATGAATTAATAATTATAGTTGGCGTGTCACGACATGGCAGGGTTGGCATGTCATGACATGACTCAGTGTTGGCATGCAACAAAATTTTACTTGGTCTGTATAGCATATAACAACATATATTTCTTCAATCTGGCTTGTTATGGATTAAATATTTTTTGGTTTAGGATAGCATTACATGTAACATTTTACTTGGTCTACATAGCTTGTAACAACATTTTTCGAAGTGCTTGTCACAAACTTCTAAAAGGATAATCATTTACGTTATAACATTTATGAATTTATATGGGTGATACAAGTATTATAGTGTACCATTTTCTATTTTTTTCACATAATAATTTATGGTTACATTCATTTATCATTTACGGTATGATAATGGTTACATTTGACTTGTAATTTTGGGTAATGGAGGAAATTCTTGCTTTTCAAAAATTAGTAACTCTTTCCTTTCTAAAGACGATATCTACCCATGTATGTGCAGATGGTAGTGCAATAAGAAGCCAAAACACTTCTACAAGGTGGTTAAGAAGTTGGATTCACCTTAGTAGATGAGTGAACAGCTACTAATTTGTACTATGAATATGTATAATATTTATCAAAAAACTTATCAAAATATGTTTTTTGCAGTTGTGTGCACACAAAACCTTAGAGCCCATGAGAATATTGTGTGGACATTGATGTCCCTCTATCTAAGGGGCACCAATACATGCCAATGGGGCACATGGAGGATCAACCAAAAAAAGGTTTAGATGTGAGGGTAAAGAGGAGAAACTAAAAGGGGAAAAAAGTCGCTGGTCCCGTTAAGCGGAGGCACATCGTCGCTTTTGGAGATGAGAAGCACTTTGGCCCTAAGTTGATGAAGGAGAGGGACAACCATGGCAATGCCAGTAAACTACTAGTAAGGGCGGTTCTTATGGTTTATATTTAATAATTCCATATTTGATTATTGAATAATATATTAATACCTATT